CCTGCAGCTGCACACACCAACACATGCAGTAGGTGCTGCCCAGCACAACAGCGCGGTGCAGAGGCTCCCAGCCCCTCTCCAGCACACCCAGTGGGGCTGCASACATGTGCAGCATCACTGCATACTTCATCTCACCATCAGGCTCTGCTTTCTGTAAGTGCAGACTGTAATTTTCTCTCCCTTCCCCCAGCCGCTTTTTAACAACAAGCACAAGCTCTGCCTCCGTGGCTTTGATGGGGACAGATGGCTTTTATATGGAGGAATGAAAAGCACTAGCGTATTGCAACTCTGAAGCAGGGGTCTCAGAACATCCCTCAAGGATCAAAACTAAAAGCAGGTGGCCGAAAGAGAAAGAAAAAAATGTGCACAAACCAAAACCTTAAATAGCTCCAAATCTCAATCACACCTGTGCCCTTCTGGTTGCAACATTCATAGAAGAGGAAAATACTCTGGGTCCCCCTCACCTGCTTAAATAACTCTCCCCCATTGGAGTTGCCATCACACCAATTCGGCTGTCTGGAGATATAAAACGTATTGGACTGACCCCATGTGCTGCTGCCTCGATGTTTAACAGTCAAGGGGCTAAAAGGTTGGAGATTCGGTTCTCAGCAGCAGTCATTAAAAAAAGAGAACAATTCAACACTGGAAAAAAAAAAGAAAAAGCACCAAGTAATGCATAAAAAAATAAGAAAAATATAGATTGAGACTGGTGACACACTTCAACACAAGCAGGCCTTATAATCTCTGGAGGAGCAGAAGCAAAGCAGCTAAGAGGCGAGTGGAAAGGCATGAGCAGCACGAGCACGGCAGAGCGGCCGCCACCACAGCTTGCTGCTCACAGAGCTGCTGGTAACCAACACACCAGTACAATTTATTGTCCCCTCAATATTCACAGAGACCAGCAAGTCTCCCTAAAGAACAGGTCCCCCCCCAAGTGCTGCATGGCTGAGCAGTTATTTTGCTAAGCATGTGTGCTACAAATATTAGTGTTAGCATCAAGCAGTGGACAGCCCGGTAAGAGGTGTGCAGAGAAGACCCAAAGCAGGGTTCCCAGGTGCTGCGGTCAGTATTTAAGATATCCTCAGACATTTAAATAAATAAAACAATTCTAACATTACAATGCACCTTTCCAATTATTACTTTGCCCCAGATTGGAGAGAACACGAGTCATGCCTAGCTGAAAACAGATGGTCCTTTTGCCCTGAYGTGGCAGGAAGGAGGGAAAAACAGCCTCAACTCTGACTGAGGAAGAGTGTGAGAACTCAGTGCTGTAAACCTGGGTAGATTGAGGGGAAACACTCAAGCGCCTCGTCCCCACCCTGGGGCCCTTTGCTTCCAGAGGAGAACAGGGATTTAACACAAGGTACGAGGAAAATAACCGTCTAGTACAATGAGAGCTGATGAGAGGTTGCTTTGTTCTACTCCATGCAATACAAACTAAGTCCTATCACCGACTTCTCCAGCCGTGGTCCAGACCCCCGCGTCAGGCGAAGAAGTAACGCACATGCACTCATCCTTACACACCAAGAACAGTGGGCAAAGGGGCTGAACTGCTCAGAATGTGCTTTCTCTTAATAAAAAATATATATTAAAAACAACTTAAAAAAAATCCAATGGTGGTGAAGACACTGATGAAGTAAGTAGCTACAGGGCCTCAGCAACATATTTCCAGACAATCCACCCACTGGATCCAGGCTAACTAAAGCCTGTGTGAGCAGCTTGCAGTGGTTGGCTCCCTTCTTGCTTGCTAGGCAGTTTCTAAGCTGTTCCCTTTTGTTGTTTTTTTTTTTTCCTTTTCTTTTTCCTTCCTTTTTCTCTCTCTCTCTTTTTTTTTTTTAACAGTGACAAATACAATCAGAACACAGAAATCAGAAATGAAAAAGGAACGGGCCATTATTGGAGAAATTCAGACCGGTGTTTTCTCCCTTCCTTTAAAAAAAAAAAAAACAACAAAAAATAAAATTAAGAAAAGTTAGTAGTACTAAGATAACCCTCCTGCTGCTGCTGTCTTTGCTCAGTGACATCGGGGCATGCTGGCACGCACACACACACACACAGGCAGCTCTCAGACACTCGGACTCAGAAAAGCGAGTTTAGAACTGAAGTGAGTCTCCGGAGGAGACTGAGGACGGGTCCCAGGGCTAGAAGGTTTTTCGGTGGATGGCACGAGCTCCATCTTCTTCATATTCCTTTTTCGAAACCCACATTTTCTTAAAGGTGTCCAGGGAGGCCAGAATAGAGCCACTAGGGAGAAACAGGCAATACGTTAGAGGTTAAAGGAAACTTTGGGGCCTGCTCTCACTGCATCTGTGAGTTGGATCTATAGCACAATGCTTGCAGGCTTCAGGGAGGCATCTGGGCTTCTGGTTTCTTACAGCAGAAATGCTCTCTCAACAACTTCTGGCCTTCTGGATCTGAGCTTAGCTCCTCTAGTCAGCAGCAAAGACGTACAGAGCAGGGGAAACCTGCCTAGAGCCTCTGCCATCGGTTTACCACCGATGAGGCTGTTCTACCTCAGATCAGGTATTCAGACTAGCCACACAACAAGGCAAATTAGCAGGTCCAGCAGGAACCTTAAGGAGGCAAAAGGTGAAGGGGCTCATGGTATAGAAACAGCCTCATTAACCAAGCTGCACYGAGCAACGTTGTGCCTGGGTCGCGAAGCCTCCTGCAAGCAGCGGACCCCAGAAGGGACAACACTGTGAGAGCCAGGAGGCCGCAGCTCCCTGGCCGTCACCCCACTCCAAGACATGTCGCTGTGTGGTACGTACCCAATCCACGTGGAATATAATCTCTCCTGAGGAGCCGATATCTGGGGGAAGAAAAGGTTCAGTTAGCATTTCTCCAAGATTTAGCTGGCTCCTCTTGGGAGGCTGCCCCACTTCATCCTGCCTGAACGGGTATGAGCTGTTCCCCAAGCCAGATACCACTGGGGCACCTCCAGAACGACCTTTTTGGGCACGGTCCCGGCTCCTCTGACAGCAGGACCACAACAGCAGATACTGTTGGGCTGTCCAGGAAAAGCATGAGTGGTTTGAAGCAGGGAGCAGCTRTGCTCTCAGCGTGGTTCTTATAGGTGTGCCAGGGCTGCAAAACCATCTGTGATAAGCGACCAAGAAACTGCTCTTACCCTTATTTTGACATCCTTGGGGGCAAGTTTCTTCACTTCGCTCAAGAGCCTGTCACCAAAACCTATAAAAGACAGAAAACGTTCAGTCTGAACCCCTCAGCTAAGTTCAAGTTACATCTACCAATAACGTGACAATGTCCCATTCTGTCCTATTCAACTGTCCCTCTCCCAAGTCTCTTACAGTCTAGTCTGCAGAGACAAAACACAGCTACAGAAACAAGAGGGACAACATGACTTTGTCTCATCTCACTCAGTCYTCTGAACACTGGCACAACAGGATCTCTCTCGCAGCAGCATTTCAAGATGAGCAAACAAGCTTTTTATCGCTAGGATCACAGGTGTGCCAGGTCCCTCTTCCTTCCCTCCACGTTCCTCCTACACACTAGCCTATGGATTGAGTAGGGAGACCAGTAAGTATCTGGAGATATTCACCTGTGAGGATATCCATTCCTGGTGGCAATTATACATTTGGAGTCTTATTTCTTAGCAAGGAGAATTTTGGCCCTAAGAATTTGCCCTCTTTCCCCACAGTTCTCAGCCCTCCCTCCATGAGACAGATGAGTCCCACCCTACTGAAAGAGGAGGGGCAGGAACCTTTGAAAAGCGTAGAGCCTCCAGAGAGCACAATGTTGGAGAAGAGTGTTCGCCTCAGGTCCATGTCTGATTTCTGAATGGCAAAAACCAGCACCTCATGGAGCCCTTCACATTCCTCCCCAATCAGGTCCGGCCGGAAGAGGAGCTCCGGGGCTCGGAAACGGGCAGGACCGATCTGCAAGAAAAGGAATTATCAGAGTGGCAGAGACAGAAGGACAGTTCAGTTCACTCCCTATAGCCTCATGCTTGGGGCTTTCTTTCTCACATAAAATTTACAAGTAACAAAATTTCTCCAACATTCATACTTTGTCATTACCTCCCAAGTGACCAGCAGTTTAGCTGATTGCCCAAATAACTAAGGCACCGTTGCCATTTCGCAGTTGAAACAGAGGAAGAACCTTGTTCAGCTCCGCAGAGAAAGCCAATGTGAGAGAAGGGAGCAGATCCCAGCTGGTGCTGGAGGTAAGGTCTGTATATGTACTCCTTCAACCCAGCCCTTCTAGAGTATTCCCTATACCACTCTTCAAAGCAACTTTCCAGATCCCTAGGCAAAATAAAAGACATACAAAACTGCTGCTGAATTTGCTGATACAACCCACAACCTGTAGCTCATCTGCATGAAGAGTTGCTAGATCAAAGCTTTAACTCTTACAGCTCTGGGTCCCCATGGTCTTCTCTATGTTTACTCAGGAACGAGCAGAAGTAGTAAGTTTTCTAAAAACACTGGCATCCTCCCTGGTCAGCAGTTTGGGATGAGTTCTGGCCTTTTAAGATAACGGTCTGCACTGAGTTATATTGCATTTTCCAGCACTAGGCAGAGGGCTGTGCTGGAACACCAAGGCTTCACGTGAGGAATGTCCCGACACGCGTCCTTACAAACCTCAATGGTGCTGCCATCTGGCAGGTAATACTGAGCCTTCTCGGTCTCCAGAGTCTCATCCTTCTGAGGGTTTATTGACAGGTAACAGGCACGCTACAGAGGAAAGAGGGAAAGGGAGATGAGAAAGGCAAACCCAAATGCTTCCAAAAAAATACCTCCCTCACTACAAAAAGTCTTTAAAAGACAAGGTCAAGTGTCCTCATGGGGAGACTAATTTCAACACCTTTTTTGATGGAAAGAAAACCTCTTATTTTGCATTCACATCACGAGAAACACCTTTATCTTCCCACCAGGCCACAGTCCCACATGAGGGCTAGAGACACCAGGCTGTTTACAGCCCCTCTCACAGCTGCTCCCCTCTTGTCTCCAGCTTTCCCTTACCAATTAAGAGGTTACCTCCCTCTAGCACAGATGGGGGCTGTCTCCTGTGAACACTTCTAATCTGTCCTAGCACAGGGTAAAACAATCTCTTAAAACACCTTTAATGGCATTAACCACATATAGTTGTGCTTTTAAGTAACTCTGCAATGGATTAACAGCATGAACAAAATGTATTGCTGCATTTCAAGGGAAGATAATTAATAGACAACAGCTAAAATCTCCTAACACAATCTAAGCTGATCACTTCCCACTGTCCAGCTACATTTTAAGTTAGCAAGAAACAAAGAAACAAAGTTCCTTTTGATTTTCCACATTCCTTCATCATCCAGTACTGCTTCTTCAACCTTGCTTCTTCAAGTTCTATTCCAAAATACTTGCTATTCCAAAATACTATCATTTGTGGATAACGACRCAACGCTTGCTCTGAAGTAGGCATTAAGAGTTTCTCTTTGTACAGTAATTTCTACTTTAGACTTTTTAATATCATCCAATTTCTTTCCTGGCTTTTATCTGTTCAAAAAAACAGTCAGACCCCTACAGATCACAGCTGACTTCTAGGACTCAGAAATCCCAGCACCAGGGTCTCAGATTTGTGCTTGCTAGGRTGCAGTCAGACCATGTTTACAAGCTTTCCCGAAGCAAGACAACTGCCAGCACAAAAAGGGATGTTCATCCCCTTAGATTTGCAATGAAGGCGCAAGGGGGCACCATCTCTAGGCKCTGATATCACAGCCACCTACAACACTCTCCCCAGGTAAAATTTGCCTAAAACAAAGCAAAAGGTACACATTGGAGAGGGAACATCAAGTTGTTTGCTCTCCTCTCCAGCACGCTCACTGGTGAAGAGAGGCAGGTTGCAGGGCAGGACCTGCTCTTTCCTGCCCATCTCTAAAGCTCACTGAGATCACACTTGAGATCACACTTGGATGCTGTGCTCAACCACCGCCACAAGCTCTTTTAATAGTTCCAGCCCCTAAGATGTGAAGGGAGTTCTGGCTATTTGCAAGTGTATTTCTGAAGAGCACAAGCCTCTTGTTTGTCCTACCYGGCCTTTTACACTGCAGGTGCTGCTTTGTACAAAACAGGCTTCTTCTGAAGCCAAGAGCTCCCCAGGCTCCATGCCCTACATCTTCTGGCCCACAGATGTTGCAATACCTGCACGTATCTTTCAGCAATCAGCACTTGTGGAACAGGCAGGAACCTCCAACCCCTTGAGCTCCAGGCAGAAACCATTCCACTGAACCACAACGTGAAGCACAGGCGCTGCTCCCTGGGCACAGCCACACCAAACTACAGCCTTGCAGAACAAGCGTTTCCATCAGGGCCCTTGGCTGGCAGGCCCCAGGCTGAAGGAMGGCCTGCTAATGCTCCCAGCCTGCTGACTCAGGCCCGAGTTATCTGCAGCAGCTACAGCCCGTGATGGGGCAGAGAASAGGGCAGCGACTGCCAGGCCTCAGCACACAGCAGTCACAGGACTCATCTGAGGGGTAATCCCATGTACCAGGGGCACGGACACATCAACAGCACCCAGGCACAGCAGGTCTTGCCAGAACCTGAGTGTCCAAGGACTGGGATGCAGCAAAGCCACCGCAAGCGGCTGGCACCTCGTGGCTACCGGCCACGTCCCACCCGAGCAAGGCACAGAAAGAGGCAGGTGAATCACCTCCTTGATGGTCTTGACAATCTCGAACTCGGAGGAGGTGTGGAAGTCGTAGCCTTCCTTCCGGAGATAGAGGCGCAGGAAGCGGGAGACGTCGCGGCCGGCGATGTCAATGCGCATGATGGAGTGGGGCATGGCAAAGCCTTCATAGATGGGGACRGCGTGGGTGACACCATCCCCGGAGTCCAGCACCACTCCTGTAGTCCTCCCAGTGGCATAACTGGCAAAGAGGAAAACAATCCGGTCAGGACAAACGGTTCAAAGTGAGCCCCAGGAATGTGGCATGCCCAGGTGCAGCTCAGAAAGCAGAGAATTCACCAACAAATGGGGTAAAAACCCCTGGTTGTCATCATAAAGAATTTACAAGAATTTGCTGAATTATTACAGAAATTAAAATTTAACTTCAGTTCTTGCTTGAAAAGTGAATGGGTTAGTGTGGATTTTCAGGGGAGTTTTGTTTCGTGAGAAAATGAATTTCAAAGCAACATTTCACAGAGGCAAATCAAAGAGGAAAAGCACTCACAGGCTGAGCACAGCTTGCATGGAGATGAAGAGCGCTGGCACGTTGAAGGTCTCAAAAAACACCTCAGCAGCACGTTCTCTGTTCTTRCGTGGGTTTAGGGGGGCTTCTGTCAGCAGCACAGGGTGCTGTTAAAAAAGAAAGGAGCCCTGCTGCAAAACAACCAGGAGGCACCCAGGAGTCCATTCCTGAGAAAGTTCTGCTTATTCCTTCACTGGTGCAAGCTGACAGATAGAGGGAATCATTTCAGCTAGTAARCTGCATTAGACTATGAATCTCTGATAAACTGGAGAGCATATAGGGCTCTAATCCAGCTACAACGGGCTCTAGTCCAGCTAGATTTCTTAGACTTTCTAATAAAACTAATCTGTGAGCAATCCTGTTCCCAAAAAAAAGGATAAGATGASTCTCAGTACCACGAGCCCAGCCAGATTGCCCCAAAAGCAATGACTCTACAGAATGAGCGATGGCAAATGCTCTTTGCAAGAGCAGCCAAAAATATTCCCTTTCCACTGCAGGACACTCATCATTCTCACTATTTAATCATCTCTTGCTTATTTTATTTGTACATTTCTCTCCAAACCACATGACCATGGTTTTGTCTCTCCTCACTTTCTCCATATCACCATCACCATTGACCAGGTGATTCCTCTTCTGCCTGTGTATCAGATAAGGTGCTTCAYTTAGAGTAGAATCATCAAAAAGAGTGTGAATAATACATCTTGAAAGTTATTTTTTTTAGTTAGACCAGAATGTTAGAGCTGGGAAGGAACACTGCCTGGCCACTTCTTGTACAGCATCTTCTGACAGGTGAAAAAGCCTAATTTAACAACAGATGCCCTTAGAAATTCTGCAGAATTGCACAGAARAAGTCACAGGTCTTTCCTGGAGTTCAAAGATTCCTGGGGTTACACACATAGATGAACAGCCTGGGGCTGTTACCTGATGAGACACCTCACCTCCTCCGAGAACGTCTGAAGCTGGTCTTTCGAATAGACATACTGCCAAATGCGCTCCATGTCATTCCAGTCCTTCACTATGCCATGCTCCATGGGGTATCGGATCGAGAGGAGACCTCTGTGCTCCTGACCAAACAGAAACATCAACACAGCACCGTTGTCAGAGACACTCGAGCAACCTCATTTTTCAATGTAACAAGTAGAATTTCACACATTTTCAATTCCACGACGTGCCTGCAGTGTGCAGGACAAAGTCTGAACTTTTAATCACAAAGCTTTCTCAGAGAAGTATTTGCAGAGGTTAAACGGGGCCTTTTTACACTGAGTAGGAAGGCCTGGTGTTTGTAGAGCACATTCCATCCCAACAGTTTTCAAGCATTACACAGACACCCATCAAATGGTATCTTTGTTCTACCAGCTTAGCCGTAACAGAGCGTTGTTGGCAAATGTAGGATTCCGAGGATTCATGGGAAATGTGAGATTCACAACTGTGCTCAGAAGAATAGGACTGTGGAAAGCAGCTTTTCCCAAACCAGGAGATAAAAGGCAGCTAGAATCCAATTCTGAAGTCCCTAATTGAGAAGATGGGGATCTAACTACATTGACTGTGTAGTAGCTGTGAGAAAGCAAGGAAGATGTAGATGGACTTGAGAAAATAAAATGAGGGAAATGAGAGAAAAGGTCTCTGATTAACAGCTTGGGACAGGAATTTTATGGAGCTTCTTGCTTCAGCTTGAACACACTTAAAAGTGAGATCTGTTCTKCTGCTCATATCTATAATTATGTCAAAGAACAGTATCCCCTTTAAGTGTAACTGCTACTGCTCTTTACTTAAAGCAGCATAGTGAGAAAATATGATAAGCACAGTAAATAGATTTCTTACCTCTGCTTTTGGGCCAATGAAAATGTCTCCTTCTAAAGCACCAGCCATAACACGAACATGTTTTGGTCTGCCCACACTGGAAGAGAGGCAAGAGTGTTAATGCCTCTTGMCTGAGAGGCTGGATGCATCCGAAGATGCAGAGAGATCCAGCTTTGCTCTGCAGGAATGAACCCCTGAAGCAGCAGGCCATAAGCCTGCCCAGTGCGGCTACACTCGCCCTGATGATTCAGGCTTTACTAGTTCCAGCTGTGTCTGGAGTGAACAGGGCTGAACTGAGCAAAGGCCTGAGCTGGTTGATCCCCATGGTGCTGTTTGACTTCAGATGGACTTCTCAGATTAGCCATTTATAGCACCATACTCCACCTCACTAATGAGCCTGCATTGCTCACAACACAAATACACTCAAGAAACACCCTACGGAATTAAAAGCCAGTGTCTACTCTGAGTTCCTGATCCACTAATCCTTCTTCCAGTAAAATTYCCAGAAAACTTTCAAAGAGTTTGGAGGGGATCAGGACACTGGACCACACACTGAAGAACCACGGATGGCTTCACACCTCCCACCCCAAAACCCAGCTTTGTTTTGCCTTTTTCCTTGTCCATCTAAAGTCTAAAGGCTAAAGGATCCTAAACTTCTGGCCAGGTACTGAGCCTGATAAAACATGATACATAATTCTTTATAATTTCTTTTGTTCTGAAAATTTCAATGCACTTAATGATCTCTTTTCCCTGACACCTCTATGTAGCAGGAAGAACTAGTTTACCTCATTTCTCCAGCTACAACTRGAGAACCATTCTTTCCCACTAAGTGACAGAGAACTGGTACACRGCATTACCAAGAACTCACCAAGGCCAGTAGGTACTTACTAATTTGGAAAGCAGTATTTTGGTATCTGGTCACCCGCAAAACCTGCTTTAATCACACCCGARCCCTGTGGGAAGAACAGATAATGTTTGAGGTTATTGTCCATTCAGTCATCTTCATAAGTTTTAAGAGAGTAGCAAAATATACCAGAGTTGCCAGACCTTGTCCTTTTTACCAAGTATTAAGCTTCCAAGACGAGATGGGATGGGAAGGTGACAATTTGTCAGCTTGGCAACTAGAGGGGGAAAAACCAGCCCTCCCATCACCACCAGCAAGACCACCCCGGGGTGCTGGGTACCGCTCGGTGCCCACAAAGTGCTGCTCCCTGCAGACAAACATGTTAGTACCTCCTGCTGCTGCTTACAGGCAGTGCTAGGGATCCAGGAGACCCACAAACTCTGCAATCCTGACTCGTTAAAAGCTCTCTGAGAAGCAGAGTTTATTTCATTAGGTCTAACAGTAGCTAGATGGCTCCAGGGGCTACTACTAAGACGGGGAAGATAAAGGTTACAGACTTCTCAGCAGTGAATTTGGAGAGGATGGAGGGAGGGTGGATGAAGTCAGAGAAGGGAGTGGGAAAGGACCATGTGAAACAGGTTGGATTGAGACTAAGCAAATTCAGGTGGTGGATGAGCTAGATAAAGCTAACAAGGCAGGTCAGGGAAATCTGATCAAAACGGGATTCTACAAACTAGACCTGAATGGGGTCTGGAAGCAACAAAGGTCCCAGTCAGGCTGAGAGAGGAAGGGCTGGAGGCAGGAAAAGCAGCTGACAGGATACGGCTGTTTGCTCAAAAGGGACCAGGAAGGAGAGGCTAGGACACAAATTGCGCAGCAGGACAACGAGATCAGAGCTCCTGGGACTCCCAAAGCGACGCAAGCACYAAACACAGAGCGGGTGAAACCAGCGCGAGAGGCCGTGGCAGGRCCTAAGTGCAGAGCTCTGCCCTCCGTGCCGGTTGGCATTCCTGCTTCCACTCGCGGGAGGAACAACCTGCTCCAGGCCCCGCCAGGCTGCAAGAGCTGCCAGAGCTTGTCTGCAGGTACGAGATGTGWATAGCTCAATCCCTGTCCCAAGAACTGCCCGTGGCCACGCGGGCTCCGAGGGCAGCCCCGGGCTGGCACCRGGCAGGGCTGCTCCCTCAGCCTCGATTCCTCTCCCAAGGCCTGCGCTAGCAGGCACAGAYGGGACAAAGTGGCCTGCAAATGCTGAGACATCCTTTCAGAGAAACTGTCTTCTGGCTAGTCACCTCAAAGCAGAGGCTCAAGAACACAAAAACACTACTCCGAGTTCCCTTACCACGGTCTGTACRCAACCCTTACCTGTGAGGAAGAGGACGGGGGGAACAAACAAACAAMAACCCAACCCCCTTAGGCCTAGCAGCAAAGCACTGAACCGAATGCGGCCACGCAGCCCATCGGAATATTGTGCTTATTCCATGCCCCGCTCCAGAGGACGGCTGGTCTCGCTGCCAGCCCTGCTGCCACTGGGAAGCAGGTTCAGGAAAACAACGGTGCTCCTATTCCAAGAGGGCAACCAAAATCCCCTTGTGTCAGGCCAAAAGTTACCCACAGTGTCCCGGGGAGGTTCCCAGCAGGTTAAGTATTCTGGGATTTACATCCTGAAGTTCAAAGTTATCCAAATGTGTCCCTAGCTCAGAACTCTTAGTGGAGCTAAAGGGGACTGACTTCTTTTGAAGAGGCCGGTGGGGYAGAACTGAAACACAGTCACTCTTCCAAGGGCCTGGGAATAACCCGGGCACAGCTGTTTGCTATCTCCGCACTACAAAGACCCGATGGAGCTTTCTGAGATACTCAGTTTGGCTTGAAAACACTTTCCTGCTTTGAGGATGGATGTGCACTGAGTAGAGCTACTTATTATTGCCCAGTGTGAGATTCCTATACAATGAGGAGAAAAGGTTTAAGTGTTGAAATGGCCCTGGCTGACTGAAAAGGTTTAAAATAAGGATCTGCTTTTATTTTTTATTTTATTTCATTTCAAGTAGCCAAATAGCATGCATCCTCCCTCTTGCTGGAAGCTCCCATTTATTAAAACTTTAAAGAATCCCCAAGTTAACATCCTTCCACCAGTGCACATCCTGGTTGGGCTTTCATCCTGTGGGATTTTTTGTGGTTGTTTTTGCATCTGAGCAACAGAATAAAAGAAGGAGAAAGAAATTACACATCAAAGTTTAAAGAGAAGGGAAATAACCTCATGGAAAATTCTCAGGAGCATCTGAAAGTACCTGAACACGCTCCTCCCGCTAGTTCTGTTGCTGACTCAGTTATTAATTCATTCATCTTGATGTGTTTAGGATACAAATTTAAATGGAAATCACCGAGATATGAAAGTCTGCTGTGCAGCACTTCTGAAGGGGCAAATACATTTCATATTCTTGTAACTCTATTTTACTAGATGCTCACTTCATAAAGCAAGAGCAAATGAAAGACACCAGTCCGTAGCGGCAGCTCAGTTGGTTAAAATGATACCACTTAGATACCCAAGCCAAATTTTATCCTGTTTTACGTAACTGGGCACAACTCCACRGAGATGAAGGCAATTGCACCTGCCTGTTTCCGAGCTGAACCCCGCTGTCCCTTACCCTCATCAGGCCTCTTGGGTCAGTTGTTTTAGGGAGAGTGGTTTAGATGGGAACACAAGTCTTTAAAAGAAATTCCGTACTCAAAAGGCAGGAATACTAAGGATGCCTTGCAGGAAAGCCCCAAATTCTTCCTGTACATTTCAAAACTCTTCTTGTTGGAAACATGAAGCTGAGCACACTTGCTGGCACAAGAAAGTGTGATTCCACTTTTAGTCGCATTCCTTAGAATCCCTTTGGAATACACAGACTGTAGCAGGGCTGGGGCTGGAGCCGTGTGGCTGTGTTGTTTACGAGTGCAGTACCTGTTTTCCCCTTCCCATTCTCCCCCMCACACACTGCCCAGGGTGACATTCAGCCTGGAAGAGCTGCTATCCAAGGAAAAGCACTCGCGCAGCGGCACTTTCTCCGTGCGGCTCCCACTTCCCGCGTTGCCTCAGCTCATGAGAGCACCAAAAATGCAACGTCACCGCGAGGCGCCGCGGCCCAGAGCCTGGCAGACAGACAGGGCCAGGACAACCGCTTCTCTCACTGCACACAGGAGGAGGGCAGTCACTCAGCAGAGAGGCAAGAGGAATTASCAGGGTTGATAAGACCAGCTGACAAAACTGAGAGGCGAATCAGACTAAATTGCAGGCACACGAGCCCTTCTTCAGGGCTGATGCAGGGCAAGGAATCGTTGCATTAAGCAGAGCAGACTGCAATTACACGCAGGCTGTTATCACRTGGCTTTTTGCAACAGACCCACCTGCACGAAAGCGTTATGCCTGCRGAGCACTCGCCCCTGTTAGCTACTCGCTCAGCACCGCAGCAGGGTGGAACCAGCCCAGCTATTTCCACGAGCATCAGCCTCACTCATTTGTTCATCCCCACTAAAGGAGAGGCCATATTTTTCTCGTTATAGTCTGTTCTACTGCTTAATCTTTTTTTCCCTTAAACATTTTTTGATGTCTAAGTTGAATCTCTGCTGCGGTGCCAGACAAAGACACAAATCCAAGGCGTACCAGGCAGCTCAAGTTGTTGAGAGGCAAAGGGSATCAATAATGAAGAGAGGTCATGGGAATAACTGGGCTTGATCCTAGAAGCCCTATTTTCACTCGGCACATGGGAAAGGGCCCGGCTGGAGAGGCGCTTGGCTGGCGTGTCCCTGTGTCACAAGGAGCAGACGAGGACGGGGAGAGCAGGGAGCACAAGAAAAGCCCCTCCGTGCCGGCAGCGGCCGGCAGGGAGGAGCGGCGCCGTGTGACTCGGACACCGGCGGGGAGGCGGCTCCTCCGAACCGCCCCGGGCCTCGCCGCCCGGCCCGGCCCGGCCGCCATCCCCCTCCCCCTCCTCCTCCCGGCAGGGCCTCGGCGGCTCCGCGGGCACSGGGGCGGCCGCACCGAGCGGCCCCGACCCGGCCCCATTGTCCCGCGGGCACAAAGAGGAACGGGGCGGGGCGGCGCTGCTGATGGACGGCCCGACCGCCCAATGAGCACGGGCCGAACGGGCGGGGCGGGCCGCGCCCCGATGAAGCAGGTACCAGCGGGCTGGTCCCCCCGTGATTGACAGCCGCGTCGCCCAATCGCGCGGCTCCTGCTGCCGCGCGCAGCGCGCACCTCGGCGGCGACACCGGCTGCTCCCAGGGCGAGCGGCCCTCCGGCGCGTGACGAACAAGCCCCTCAGCCAATCGCGGCGCGGGCAAGGCCGGCGGCCCCGCCCACCGACGCAGCGCATCGCTCGGCCCGGCGCCGGGCGGGGGCCGAAAGGGAGGGGGAGGGGGGAACCGGCGGGGCGGCGCCCCGATGACAAAGGGATCGAGGCCCGCGGGCCCTCGCCGCCCGCCCGCCCTGCCCGCGGGGCCGCGCACTCACGTTGTCTATCACGACGGGCTGGTTCGCTATCACATCGTAGGACTCCATGGCGAGGACGCGCCGCAGCCACCAGCCAGCGAGCAACAGCCCGGGCCGCGCAGGCGCACAAGGGCGGCGCGCAGCCGCCTGGGAGATGTATTCCTGGCGGCGCGGGGCGTGCTGGGAGCTGTAGTCCGCGCGAGGCGCGCGCGCGCGCGCCCCGGCGGGAGGCCCCGTCACGCGCGGGGGCTGCTGGGAGGCGTAGTGCCGGGGCGGGCGCTCGCCTCAGGCCGRCAAACCAACCCGGAGGCGCCAAACGAAGCGAAACAAACCCAAAAAGCAGCGATCCAAACCTTTTTTTTAACTCCTTTTCCACCGAAACGGAAGCCTAAAAGCTCCATTTTTTGTTTTGTCCCTCCTTTGGGCATCTTTATGAGAAAAGTGCAGCTGTGCCAATGGCACCAGGGGCTGCAGCACGCGGAAAAGGATTCTCTGTACCAAAAATGAAAAATAGCAGGCATTCTGATATTAAATAATATGCACCCCTGCTGTGGGTTTTTTTTTGTTTGTTTGTTTGTCTCTCACATATTCTAAAAGTATTTTGATTAACTGATAGCTTGATCATGACGTAAACACAACACATTTGGAACTGAATTCTGAGCAAAAACGCCGGGTTTGAAGTTATCTAAAACACACTTCGAGGCCAGTAAATGCATTTAAAGGCTAGCTCAGAACTAGATCATCTTGCCCTGTCTCTCTCATGCAGGCACTTAGACTTCTGAGATTTTCCTGCCTTGAATCCAGATATCTGCATCTCAGATAGCTATTTYTAATGATGTTTATCCTTCATCTACGGCAAAAACCCTTTATTTGTTACGAMAGGATGAAGGATTTTAAATTCTTTCAAGAATGGCGTTGTCGCCTCAATAAATGCCAAGAGAGACTAACTGTGTACACCAAGCCAAAAGTGTATTTCATAYACGACTCTGTTTATCATGTTTATCACCCCAGCTGACTGTAAGTGACTTCTCAGGTGGATGTCACAAGAAGCCGTATCACAGTAASAGCACAAGTGAAATGCTGTTTATTGCAGGGAGCAATGATTTATTAAAATATCAGCTGCTCACCTCCTTTCCTGGTACAGTCATCTGCCTCTCTGCCAGCTTCTTGACTACACATGACGCCCTAAAAGGGATATTGTGAATACTGATCTTAAAGTCTAATTAAAGGAGAAACACAACAAGCAGGAGCACTCGCGCTCAGCGGGCTACAGCTCYGTTTTCCCTATATTGATCAAAAAGCTCCATGTGAGCTTGAACGCATGCATACCCACACACGTGAGGAGGGCCCTGCGGGAGCCCAGGACCAGACGGACCTTGGGGTATGGGGTGAAACCTCTGTCCGACCCCCCTGATATTGCGTGGCTCAGCAACGGCCTCGGAGGCACCTGCRAATAAATACATGAAGTATTTATGTATTTAGTGTAGCGTAGGGGTGCGTGCTGTGAGGACTGGTGAGGTTAGAGGCCCTCCTCRCTATGGGGCTGCCCCACAGCAGAGCCCACAACCTCTCTATGCTGCCGTGCCTGCCGCAGCTCCCCACAGCTCCCTCCATAGGGCACACAGCTCCCCRCACAGCAGCTTCCTGCCTGCCTGCYCCCCAGCCCTATAGCTTCCCTGAAGGATTCTATAGCTCCCCARTCCTACAGCTTCCCTCCAGGGCTCTATAGCTCCCCACGGAGCAGTTCTGAACCTCCCAGCCCTATAGCTTCTCCTCAGGGCCCTACAGCTTCCCACAGGTAGCTCCGACCCTCCCAGCTCTATAGCTTCTCCCTAGGATCCTACAGCTCCCATACAGGAGTCCCAAACCACCCCCCCAGCCCTATAGCTTCCCCCAAGGGCCCCAGGGCTCCCACATGGCTGTTCTGTACCTCTCCAGCCCTATAGCTCCCCCCAGGATCCTACATCTCCCTACAG